GTCATTATTGCTTTGTTAGTATGCTTGAAGTATTATTGTTTTTATGTCAATATTAAACTTTTGTCTTGAATCTTTTGGATCTGGACATTCGTGCCACAATAAAAACAATTACATGGATAAATATCTTAGGTAGCATTCCACATCAAAAATTCTGTTTTAATCATTTACCTACTCGAGGACGAGCAGGAATTAAGCTTGGGCATGCTTGATACGTCTCCAACGTATCTATAATTTTTTATTGTTCCATGCTATTATATTATCTGTTTTGGATGTTTAATAGGCATTTATATGCTATTTTATATTATTTTTGGGACTAACCTATTAACCGAGGGCCCAGTGTCAGTTTCTATTTTTTTGCCTATTTTAGAGTTTTGCAGAAAAGGAATACCAAAAGGAATGAAACCTTCGCGATGATCTTTCTTGGACCGAAAGAAAACCAGAAGACTTGGAGATAAAGTCGGAGACGCAACGAGGCAGCCACGAGGCAGGAGGGTGTGCCCAGGGGGGTAGGGCGCACCCCCCACCCTCGTGGGCCCCTCGTGGCTCCCCTGACCTAGTTCCTTCGCCTATATATACTCTTATACCCTAAAAACATCCACGAGAGCCACGAAACCACTTTTCCACTGCCACAACCTTCTGTACCCGTGAGATCCCATCTATGGGCATTTTTCGACATCCTGCAGGAGGGGGATTCAATCACGGAGGGCTTCTACATCAACACCATAACCTCTCTGATGAAGCGTGAGTAGTTTACCACAAACCTTTGGGTCCATAGTTAGTAGCTAGATGGCTTCTTTTCTCTCTTTGATTCTCAATACCATGTTCTCCTCAATGTTCTTGGAGATCTATTCGATGTAATACTCTTTTGCGGTGTGTTTGCCGAGATCCGATGAATTGTGGATTTATGATCTAGATTATCTATGAATATTATTTGGTTCTTCTCTGAATTCTTATATGCATGATTTGATATCTTTACAAGTCTCTTCGAATTATCGGTTTAGTTTGGCCTACTAGATTGATCTTTCTTGCAATAGGAGAGCTTTGGGTTCAATCTTGCAGTGTCCTTTCCTAGTGATAGTAGGGGCAGCAAGGCATGTATTGTATTGTTGCCATCGAGGATAACAAGATGGGGTTTTCATCATATTGCTTGAGTTAATTCCTCTACATCGTGTCATCTTGCTTAATGCGTTACTCCATTCTTTATGAAATTAATACTCTAGATGCATGCTGGATAGCGGTCGATGTGTGGAGTAATAGTAGTAGATGTAGGCAGGAGTCGGTCTACTTGACACAGACGTGATGCCTATGTTCATGATCATTGCCTTAGATATCGTCATAACTATGCGCTTTTCTATCAATTGCTCGGCAGTAATTTGTTCACCCATCGTAATATTTGTTATCTCGAGAGAAGTCACTAGTGAAACCTATGGCCCCCGGGTCTCTTTTCCATATTGTTGAATCTCGTTTACGTCTTGCTAGTTTCCGATCTAATATTTTGCATTCTTTACTTTCCAATCTATAAACCAAAAATACCAAAGATATTTACTTTACCGTTTATCTATCTCTATCAGCTCTCACTTTTGCAAGTGACCGTGAAGGGATTGACAACCCCTTTATCGCGTTGGGTGCAAGATGTTGATTGTTTGTGCAGGTATTCGGTGACTTGTGCGTCCTCTCCTACTGGATTGATAACTTGGTTCTCAAAACTGAGGGAAATACTTATGCTACTTTGCTACATCACCCTTTCCTTTTCAAGGAAAAACCAATGCAAGATCAAGAGGTAGCAAACAACAACTGACATTAGGCACCGAGTTAATTGGTTAGTCCCCCAAAATGATATAAAATTGTATAAAAAGTATCCAAGATTGATAATATACTAGCATGAAATAATCACAAAAATATAGATATGTTGGAGACGAATCAGCATCCCCAAGCTTAATTTCTGCTTGTCCTCGAGTAAGTAAATGATAAAAAGAGAATTTTTGATGTGAAATGGTACCTAGCATGTTTATCACGTAAGCACTTTACGGTACAAATATTGAGAAACAATGAAGTAATTGATATCAACATACTAATATCCATGAATATAAGAACATAATCATTGCCTTTTCAAAATATACGATGCTCAACAAATGTTATGCCTACTCATTTTATCATGTAGGCATGGCATGACTCCACCTTCACCGCATAAATAGAAATCATAAGCATCCCGGTGTCAAACCAGGCAATTGGATCATACTTTTTAACACGCTTCAGCATTTTAAGTTCCACTCAGTACATGAGCGTGAGCCGTGGATATAGCACTGTAGGTGAAATATAATACGGTGGTAAAGATCAATAAAGGAAGTCAAAAAGGAAGAAAGGCTCGCATCAACTCGGCGGATCAATAGGCAATGGAGAGGCCCATCAATCGATATCAATGCGAAGAGTGGGGATTGCCATGCAACGGATGCACTAGAGCTATAAGTGTATGAAAGCTCAAATTAAACTAAGAGGATGTGCATCCAACTTCCTTGCTCATGAAGACCTCGGGCATTTGAAGAAGTCCATCATCGAAATATACAAGACGAGTTCTATTACGAAACATTCCCACTAGTACATAAAAATGATAACTCAGAACACTCTCTATATGAAGAACATGGTGCTACTCTGAAGCACAAGTGTGGTAAAAGGATAGTAACATTACCACTTCTCTTTTTTGTCTCATTTTTTGTTGAGCTCTTTTGGCGTTTTTTATTAAGTCCGGAAGCTTATCCTTATTCTTTGAAGGAATCATTAGTCTACATCATCCTTTTCCTCACTGGGACAATGCTTTAATAATGATGATCATCACACTTTTATTTACTTACAACTCGATAAAGCTAATACAAGATGGCTCTATATGAATGACTTTGGCAATGTACCAGGATGTGCAATGATTTAACATAACATGTACTACAATGATGAACGCTGACTTTGCTACAAATATCATGTCAGACCTATAAGATCATGCAAAGCAATATGATTATGAACACACATGTCATAAGACTGAGCACTGGAAGTTGCATGGCAATATATCTCGAAATGGCTATGAAAATGCCCATCGAGGATATACATATACATACATACATATATATATATATATATATATATATATATATATATATATATATATATATATATATATATCATCAATTAGAGAGTAGCCATGTTATAGTCATGCCCATTGACAATATAGTTGCATGAAGGAGCTTTTCCTTTAGTTAACCTAGTAAAGAATGTAGATCGCTGCAACACATTGATATTATTGTGAGACCTGTACATGCCAAAGCGTGCCAAATCTAGAGGTCTTGTGCTGCAACTGCTTCAAGAATGATGGTGGGCTTCTTAACATGGCCCTGATATTTTTCTTATAGAGCATATGGGCAGTTCTTCAATCAAGGGATTGGAGGATACCTCAACACCCTCTTGCTTCAGAAATCTCCATGATCCTTTTGGTTTTTGCAACAGTTGGTTCTCTCAAGTACTAAGGTCTAAACACTTCGACCACCGCAGTAGCAAGCCTCACCATGGCATCTCTACATGTGCTCTCAGATATCCGAGTACTCATTCGACAAATCTGCTGACATGCCATAGGCAAGCATCCACAATGCAGTCGTACAATTCTATAACCAGATAATCCAATTCTTCATATGCCATCCTACTTCATGATAAAGTGGTCATTGTAGGATAGGACCCCATTGTAGGTGTGATAGAACATATTTTTCCACATCCGAATGCGTCTTGCCAAAGTTGTCATCAAATAGGGCATGTGCGGCCAAGTAGTCGTCCATGAGCGCCAAATGCCCCGTGCCATATTCCGATTTAGCACTCGATAACACTTGATTGATATCTTGAAATTGAGAACATGCTCTTTCGCATGCTTCACATCTGCAAGGACCGCCTGCAACATCGCCGTTTGACCCGCATAATCTTCCTCGTCGGACGACTCAACACAGTTCGCATAGATGTACTCCTTGTTTGAAACCATGGCTTCAAGAAGGAAGAAAAATGGTCAACAATTTAGCAACGACATTTCACGAAGCATTTGCTAGGCATGTGACCCCCATGCATGGACAACATCCGTAGGGATGGATGATACTAGACGAGCGATAGGTGTGGAACGCCAGCGTAGGAAAAGCGGCGGAGGTCCGGCAAGAGCTTGGTGGGTGGCCGGGGTGGTACAGTGACGACATTGGTCATGGAGGAAGCAGATGTAGAGAAAGGGAAAAGGGATGAGGTACGGGTCCTGATGTGGTTTTAGGTGGGCTGAAAAACGGGCGCGCGGACTGATCCATGAATCGATGCAGGACGTCGTTGAATGGCAAACTATGTTCAGACTACTCAGTTTGGACGTTTGCTGCAATTTAAGGTTGCTGTCTATAAACTCCATGCCGCGAGAGAGAGAGAGAGAGAATGGGTTGTAAAAAAATAATTTAATACTACATAGGAATAGACATATTCACACATTTTCCATTACGGACCTTGTTGGTACCGTTCTATTTCTCGATGCCAGCGGAGTTTATCTACTTGGATGATTGATGCCTCATGTTTTTCATGTATATCCATAGTTTTACCACGCTTCCAATTCAAAAAGAAAAAGTTTTACCACACTCCTGCCATCATTCTTGCACTTCGAATCGCTCGATGCAGCTTCCCATTTGGTGCAAGGGTAAAGCGTAAAGCTACCTGGGATCACATGGCCCTGCTCGCCCTAGCCAAAACTGACAGGACACGGTGATTTCTTGCAATGGGCACCTGTTACTCATATAGGGAAAAGTGAAAATGATGTGAAATTCCTGCTCTCGTCTTTTGCTCATCACCTTTCCCATCTATCTATCTATCTCACACGAGCCAAGTCAAGTGCACACAACAAGCTAGCTAGTGCTGCAGATCCTGCCAGGAAGGACTCCATCAGTCAGGTTCTCCACCCCACCCACCTCTCCGCACCGCAGCAAGCGAAGCCCAGGCAGAGGCAGGGGATGAAGCGCATAGTGGGAAGCCCGGGGACATGGAGCGGCATGGCGCTCCGGGTGTCGCAGTGCGTCTTCGCCGCCGGATCCGTCTTCGCCATGTTCTCTGCTTATGGCTTCTCCAACTACAGCGCCTACTTGTACTCTCTCTCCCCCCTGCCACCAGTTTCATTCTCCAGCAAATTAGTGCTACTTCTCGGCTTGCTGTGTCTGTGTGTTGAGATGAGTTCCTAGATTTTCTTTCTTCCTTCAGTAATCGTTTCTTGGATGTCCTCCCCTCCGTGTGTTTTCTTGCAAATTCATGAGCATCACTCAAGTAGCATCCCCACTGCTTCAAGCTCAAGCTGTTACTTCGGTTGTAAAATTCAGAGTCCCCCCTCCCTCTTGGAGTTTTTGGGGGAGGTTTCCTGTACAGAAGCCTAGATGCATGCTGTTGGTCCCTGATGATTTTACTTTTTCATTCAGCATCATGCCATACGAATCACTGCCCAATTTATCTTAGATATACACCGCCGGAAAAGGAACAACATACTATTTATTAGTTAGAAGAAAAAAAAATCACGTCTGAGCTAGTAGTAGAATATTTATAGAACCCTTCTTGAACAGCAGACCAAAACAGAGGAGTAGATTAATCACTTGAAGAGTAGATAAAGGACAGAACAACTGAGCTCACTTCCTAGATTAGCTGATTTGTCTTCCGATGGGAGATGCGTGTTTTTGTTGAAGCTGCCCTACCAAGGATTCATGTTCAGGTAAGGTGATTGCTGCTGGAAATTGACTGACAATTGAACTGTGCCTAGAATTTTTCCGAGTAAAACTTCGTTTGGTGTGATCTAATCACTGGGATGTTGAGTTCCCGGCAGGAAGGGGTGAACAGCACCATACTTGTTCAAAAATGGGACTGGGATATTGGACGTGTTTTCTTTGTGTATGTGATTTTGTCAGCGTACGTGTAAAGAACGAAGCCTCATGTTTTCCATTTACCTACAGTTTTTCTTCCCATGATAATATTTTATCAGGATTGTTAAACTTAGGCTCTGTGTGCCCACATGTGACTTGTCTTGACTGCTGTGCATGCTGATGAGCGCCGATGATTTATCTTTTTCATATCAAGTTCATATCATTGAGACTGTGAACTGCATAGGTCTAAAATGTGTTGACTACTCTTCAGAATTGCCTGTGCAGGAGCTCGTTGTGTTGACATCAACTAACGCCTGTATTATGGTCTCCTGCAGCTACCTGAACTTTGCTTCGGTGCTGCAGTTTCTGTGGAGTTTGCCCCTTGCTTGTCTGGATATCTTTTCTCTCAGGAATCAAAAGGATCTTCACGCACCGGCTCGTCTATTGCTCATTGTTATCGTCGACTGGGTAAGTCGTTCGCTTTGTCTCTTCTATTGTCCACGGAGCTACGTCTGAATTAGTTGAAAGCATGCACCGCAACAATTAAACCCAGATTTTTTTAAATCAATGTTAGTTATTAGGAAAACAGAAATTCATCAGGTGCTCGATCGAACTTTGCCGACGAACTGTCAGGTAGTTAGCAAAGGTCTATCTGAGTGATCACATTTTGAATGCATTGCAGGCCGTGGCGGTTCTCATGTTCTCAGGAGTTTGTGCCGCCGCCTGCCTGACGATTTTCTTCATGAAAGATGTGAACTTCTGTGAGGGGTTCTCGTGGCTGGCCTGCAATCAGTTCGCGCTTTCGGTCACTCTGGCATTCATCACGTGGTCGCTGCAAGCTGCGTCTTCTTTCTCCGGGTTCTGGCTACTGGTCTCGTTCTTCTAGTGATCTCACTAGCTAGGTGCTTTGAATCACCGTCGCGCCATGCTAATTGCCAACTAGTGATTGCAAAAAAAATTAAAAGTGCAAATTGCCTGTCAGGAGGGTAAATCAGTTCAGTTGCAATGTGCTCGGGACACTTGTTAGTGTTAGATTTGAGTTACCGGCGTCCTTCATTACTTATTGATAGACTGCATGTCTGATAGCTTGTCTTCAGTTTGGTGGAATAGTTACTGTTTAGGTGATGTGGAATCACTAATATGGGGTACCTATTAGTGCTCCAAGTGTCTATTATCTTAACTTTTTTTACGAATTGCTGTTTTCCTTTTGATGGAGTAGAGTACCTGTAGCAGGTATACACAGAGGGGAAAGCCGGCGGTGGCTACCGGTCTATACAACCAGCTTTGGGTTGAAGATCGCTAAAAGGAGGGATTCATATACTCCCTCCGTTTCTTTTTAGTCTCCATATAAGATTTGGTCAAAATCAAACTTTGCAAAGTTTCATTAACATTATAGAAAAATATATCATCATCTACAATACTAAAGTTATATGTCATTGAAATTAATATCATCATTCATCTAATAATGTTAATTTCATATCGTGAATATTGATATCTTTTCCTACAAAGCTAGTCAAACTTTACATAGTTTGACTTTGACCAATTCTTATATGCGAATTAAAAAGAAACAAAGGGAGTATGTCGCATTATGTGACAAAATGGCGACATATATATTCAGGGAATTCCATATAGTATGTCGCATTCTGCGACAAAATGGCGAAGGTTCGCACAGGGATGAAGCGAGCGAATGAGTTATGGGGCGGCGCATTTGTACAACGTGAGCGTAGTACGCGATCCATTTTGGGAACCTTCCAGACGGTCTTGAAAACCTTCTAGAAGGTTCCTAAACTGGTTTTCTCTTTCCTGATGTTTTCTTCCACTGGTTTTCAGGTTTTTCTTTTTCTGTTTCTTTTTAAAAAAATAAGAAATTTCAAAAAGTGTTCCAATCTTCATTTTTTTTCAAAATTCAAGAAATGTTTGTGCTTCCAAAAATTGTGCAAAACTTCAAAAAAATGTTCCTATTTTTTAAAAAAAATTAGAATTGTTTTAAAAAAGATCGCGTATCCAAAAAGAATGTTTTTTCCAAAAATTTCTTGGTCAAAAATTCAAAATATATTTCAGTTTTCAAAGTTTGTTTACAAATTCAAAATATGTATGTGTTTTCAAACACTTGTTCAGGAATTTTAAAAACACTTCTTGTTTTTAATTCCTTTAAATTTGTACATAAATTCAAAAATTGTTCACATTTCTCAAAATAAATCGTGTTTGCCTATCAGGACTTCTATATAAGTTTTTCAAGGAGTGACTATCATTCGGTCGATTGACAACCAAGCCATCCCATCAAGATTTTTCAATCCTTTTATATTTGTATGAATCTTGATATCTAAATTGAAAGCGGTGAATATAATTTGCAACTTGTAGTTCCTTTCTTAAAGGCCTCATTTAGGACAATAAAACTGCACCTAATCCCTACCCTCTCAGGCCTTCATCCTCATGGCTGTCGAATTGTGATTGAATCGTTTCTGGCCGTACGTGCGGATGTAAATGTTACGGATAATTTCCGTTTCCGAATCCGCATCCGCATCCGTTTTTTTGGATATAGTATGCACTTTCACAAATCCGACGGATATGAATGCGGATACGGATTTTGGTCAACCGAATATCCGACAAATATGGTAGCGGATATTGTACCGATAATATCCGACGGATATGGACTATTCGGTATTTTTTGCGGATTATCCGGTGTTATCAAATAGGATTGTCCGATAAATTTGATCCAATCGACAAGCCCAAATATCCAATTAGACCATTATAATTACCACATATAAATATCATATAACCATAACCCTAATAGCACCCTCGTATGAGTGTACAAACCACATGTACGTGTACAAGCGTAGCTAATAGACCTGAGAATACGTACTGTACAAGCTAACTGGATTAATATTTAAATAGATTCTGTTATGGACTAGAGAACACAATAACCTACGATGTGTAATGTCTTCGCTGCAGCGTGTAAGCTATTAATTTCATTGATCAGTAAAAATTAATTGGTTACTTATATATTGTTTTTCTTTGCATAGATCATGATAGATATTATGGAAAAGATCTACATACATTTTTATCCGTTTTCGGTCCGAGTCTGCTCCGCTTCCGCTCCGAATCCGTAGTCCGATATAATCCGTATTCGAATCCGCATCCGGTCATTATCCGATCCGCTCCGAATCCGACAAAAAAATGTGGTAAAGGATACAGTAAAGGCATTATCCGATCCGATCCGATCCGTTTACATCCGGGGTGCACAGAGACCTACGGATCAACCACCAGCAGCAGCTACGGCATCACTTTCTGACAGGGAACTATGCATGTAATGCAGGTCTTTTTGAACTACTGAAAAGAAAAAACCTTATGCATTACTACTAGCCTGCTACTTGTCTCGATCGTTAATGCAGGATCCTCTTTCCCCCATAGGATATGTTATTTTTGCAGCTCATTGTAGTGTGCCAACAATCCCCACATGAACTACCTCACAACCTCTGTTCTTGAAGAGAGGTGAACGAGCGCATCATCCTTCCGTTTTCCAGGAGAGGTACCGATCGAGTAGCGGCCGGCGATGTCGTCGAGTGAGGGGAAGAAGACGGCGTGCGTCACCGGAGGGAGCGGTTACATCGCTTCAGCGCTCATCAAGCTGCTGCTCCAGAAAGGCTACGCTGTCAAGACGACCGTCAGAGACCCCGGTTCCTTTCTTGCTTCTTGGCTTCTATAGTTCTGTCTCGTAGAGTACGTACGTACGTACTTCAGCAACTTTTCCTTCCGAGTTTGAGGTGACAATCATTAGGTTCTAAACTGTCCATTCCGGAGTTTGAGGCGAAACCTTAGTAGGTTCTTCAGAGTTCAGAATCGACTGGATAAAGTCAGCAGCAAAGCTTTTTTAGCCAAATCATCATGCTGAGATTTTTTTATTTTATTTTATTTTTGCGGGGAGATCATGCTGAGATTGATGGAAACTGTTTTGGTCTCTGAAGATTTTGTAAGCTGAATGCAGATGACACGGAGAAGAATTCCCACCTCAAGGACTTGCAAGCGCTTGGCCCCTTGGAGGTCATCCGTGCCCGGCTGGACGAAGAAGGCAGCTTCGACGATGCAGCTTCCGGCTGTGACTACGCCTTCCTTGTCGCCGCTCTGATGAACTTCGGCTCAGCAGATCCTGAGGTAAGCAGCCATTTGCACCACTGTTGGGAGGTGTGGTTGTTAGGATGTGGGACACCATTTAAGTTGTCTGCCATCACTCACTGTCTGACGACTTATCCTCAGCCCACCGTTGGCGTTTCAGTATTTGGCAACTCAATCATGTTAGTTTTTATTCCACTTTTGGGATCACTTACCGTGCTTCGTGTTCGATGCCAGAGAGATATGATCAAGCCGGCCGTCCAAGGAACACTCAACGTGATGAGGTCGTGCGTGCGAGCGGGGACGGTGAAGCGGGTGATTCTGACGTCGTCGGACGCCAGCGTGTCCAGGAGGCCGCTGCAGGGCGGCGGCCACGTGCTGGACGAGAGCTCCTGGTCCAACGTCGAGTACATCAGAGCCAACAAACCACCAACTTGGGTACATAAATCTTTCCGAGTACAGCGGTGCCCAGCCTTATCTGCACCCGCTCAAAAACAATTCATACAAACTCATAAAAAATTATATGATAGATAATTTATTGCGCGAGGTCTGCTCCAATTTTCAGATCATTTAAACACCTGAGTAGTTCTCAGCAAAAAAGACAAATCTGGTCAGAATAATACAACGTGAACAGTAAGCTTTTTTACGGACGCCGAATTTGTCATTTTTGTTGAGAGTTGCTCAGATGTCCAAATGATTTGAAAAGTAGAGCGGAACTCACGCATCAAATTATCTACCATGCAAAAAAGTTGATCTTTTTAAAAATTTCTAGCACTTTTTTTTTCTTCAGCAAGGGTGCAGATGAGCCTAGGGTTAGAAAAGGATTTTCGAATCTTTCTACTCAATCTCTCTCGCCTGGACGTTTATATTGGATGGAAGGTATTTGTTACGTGTAATTTGTATCGTAGGAATACGTCGTGTCCAAGGTGCTTCTCGAGAAGGCGGCGAGCAAATTTGCGGAGGAGAACGGCATCATCCTCGTCATCGTGCTGCCCGTGTTCACCTTGGGCGCGGCGCCGGTCTCCAAGCCCACATCAAGCGTCCCCGTCACCCTCTCCCTGTTGTCTGGTGAGAGAGACCTTCCTGCCATATCATTTCTCTGTTTTCCACAACATGACCAGTGCTCGCTAGCTGAGTGTTAATTTGACCGGTGACATTTTTCAGGCAATGAGACACAGCTGGACATCCTGATAGGCGTACAGTCGGTCACCGACTCCGTGTCGATATGCCACGTGGAGGATCTGTGTCGCGCTGAGGTGTTTGTAGCCGAGAACGAGTCCTTGGCGGGCAGGTACATCTGCTGCAGCCACAACACCACCTTCGTGCAGCTTGCCCGTCTCGTAGCCGAGAAGTACCACAATACAATGTGAAACTTGAACGGTATGCAAACAGTCTATCTAAACCGGTGGCACGCACACAGCTATATTTTTAACACGGGTTTAATGATATCCGAATATATACTTGTGTAGCTTTGCTGGGTCCCTAGAGAAGCCAAGAGTGTGTTTATCGTCTCAGAAGCTCATCGGGGAAGGGTTCGAGTTCAAGCACGATGATTTAAGTGAGATATTCGACATTAGCTTGGCCTGATGGTTGTACGTGTGTGGTTGTTTCCATGAGACCGCGGCGGTTCGAGTCCTTGCCGGTGGGAGGGCTCCGTTTTTAAATCTTTTTTCGAGCTTTGTTAGGGTTTGTGTCCTGCTTAGGAAGGCGAGACGGGGGCGGCTCCCTGAAGATGGAATAAAGGTCTCCCCGCCTAGCCCCCGTTTCGGTGATGCG